GAATCACAGTTGTTCATGTTCTCTTTGTCCAAAAATCACAGTCATCTATCTTCTATTTATCCAAACATCACAGTCGTCCATCTTATATTTATCCAAACATCACAGACGTCCATCTTCTCTTTGTCCAAACATCACAGTCGTCCATCTTAGTGACGAAAGTCTTACATATAATAAAAAAGATAAGAACACTCTGTCGTGTGAAATCAATTCATAACGTTTTTAAATCGATTTATGCCAAGGTTTTGAAAATTTAAACATTCGCAGTCGGTAGGATTCGAACCTACGCGGGAATATCCCAATGGATTTCTAGTCCATCGCCTTAACCACTCGGCCACGACTGCGTGAAGATACTTTTTATATGAAGTTTATTTCTTAACAGGAATTGAAATAAAATTGGATCATGCTAAAGGTTATACTAATACCAACATCATGTCATTTACCAATTTAGCTAAGAATTATGTCAATAACTTCATACTTCTTCAACTTTTCTGTCACTCTCTGTCATTTTATTCCAGGACTGCTAGGCCAGTAACGTGTTACGCCCTCTCCTCGACCACGAGGCTAAAACTACAGAGCATACCAACCATGGGTAATGAATGAGTAGCTCTATAATCTTATACAATTTGCGAACCGTGGTGTTTGTCCGAGTGTTCGTCTGTTCCCCGTTTGAATACCCGTGCAAACAGATTCTTTCTCACCATCAGGATTTGGTCCATGTTTTTGGACGAGTGAGGGTCAGGTTCAGCGTTGATCTCTTCCTCCCTCACACGAATTGTTATTTGTTCGCACTGAATCCTAGGTAATAACCCTTTTTACGTTGTTGCAGTATCATAAATTTTGTTCATTGTCCGCTGTTTTGATTAACATATCCTTTTCGTGCCATGGTCCACTTCATGGTGTAATATTATCTCGTATATTTTCATTAACTTCACTCATGCATGATCGCAATATTAGTCCGTTTTCACAATATAGTTCTAGGGTTCAGTTAGTCTAGTACTGTTTGGCCTGTAAATTTCTTATTTATGATGTTAAGAGGGGAGAGGTACTTAGGTTCATCATGTATTATGTAACTTTCTAGTTTGTTCATCAGTTAATTTTTATTAATATTTTTTATTATAATATTGAAGCAGTTATACAGGCGTCTGTCTGTTAGTGTTGGCATGTTTGAATAGTTTTGGAGAAATACTGAGTTTGTTGATAGAGGGACTCTAAGTGATTTCGTTAAAATATAGTTTTAAATATAGTTCGTGGTTGCTGTAGTTTGTTGATGTGTATTTTTCAGATATTTATCGATGTTATACAGGCATATTCTACGACTGGTCTTATGGATTTCTGTAAATTTTGAATATATTTTCTTGTGAAGCTCAGTCAGACTACTAAGGTATTATGCTATTAATGTGTGGTATCCAGTTTAATTTTGAGTCAAATGTTATCCCTAAGAATTTTGCTGATGCTGCTACCTAGATATAATTGTGATATTAATTTGCTTGTATTGTACGATTTTCTAAATAACATGATTTGTGTTTTGTGCACATCAATTTTAATTCTCCACTTATTTCAGTACAATTCCATTTCGTTTAGTTGTGGTTGTATGTTGTTGCTGTTGGGATTGGGGCACTCTTCCACATTGGAACGTTATCTGCGAACTGTGAGCAGCAAGTGGTTCTTTGAGAGGCATGTCGTTGAAATACACGATAAACAGGATAGGGCTAAGTACTCCTCCTTGAGGGACACTCGCCTCCGGAGTGCAGCACTCGGAGTTGTGCAAGCAGGCAAAGCTCAACATTCACCTTTGAAATGACTGGAGAACAGGCATGAATAATGTTGATGCCAAACTTTATTTCGCAAGCAGGATATTCTACCCTGAATTGTTAAGAATAAATCACACTATCATTCACATTTCAAAATGTTACGTCACTTAAAGAATAAAATTGTAGATTTACCGTCTGTTATTGTTGAGCGGCTCTTAGCACGACTGAAATGCTCAACAATTACTTTTCGGGTGGTTTGTTTGTTTGTAATTAAGCACAAAGCTACACAGTGGGCTATCTGTGCTCTGCCCACCACGGGTATCGAAAACCAGTTTCTAGCGTTGTAAGTCCGCAGACATACCGCTGTGCCACTGGGGGGTGGGGGGGGGGCTTTCCGGGCGGGCGGTATAAGTAGCTCAAAGCTTTGGCTCTGAGTGAATCCAAGAGTACAACACAATTATAGTTTCTAAAGTCCACGAAATATAAATTAAATTGATAGATTAACTTAAACTTTTCCCGTCAGTGGGGACGGGTACTTTTGCTTGTCTGTAATACCGAAGATGAGTGTGAAACCAAAACTTAAGTGTAGGAAATGATGTATAACGAGTGTTCAAAGCTATATTTAATCAGTTTTGCAGGTAAATGAGGAAAGAGAATAGAAAATGATCCTGAGGTACGTTAAGTTTTTCAGAAGAAAAGCAAAAAGTCCACGATCACCGTCCGGAAGAGGACATCTAATACATGTTGAAAAGGTGCTCAACTGGAGGCCCAAAAATGGAGAGTTCAACCTATTAAAAATTCCCGCAATTTAACCACTGGCTACAACTATAATCCCATGACTTTCCAACTTAAGTGGTTAAGTGCTATTTAACACAATATTAACTGGAAACTTCTCTCATAACCGTATACTGCCGTGGCTCTAATGCAATTTACAACTTTTTATGGTGTTCTGTTAAATCATATCTCGAAACATCTTCTCTATAAGAGACAGCAGATCTTTTGAAATTCTCGACAGGGTTAATTAATTTTTGCTGCGACATCTAGAAATTCTTATAACCATAGTAAACATTAATAAGTGATAGAAAACGGTCAATGGGTTAGAAATATATTGGAATATTCCCGTGCAGATATGATTCCTATCGACTGCAATATTTCGACAAATATTCATACTTTGAACTCTGTCAAATGAAGTACTGGTTGTTTTATTACAATTACTTTAAAACTTTTCATTGTGTTTTTTTTTTAAATATAAGTAATTCACATTCGTTTTAAGAGTGTTGCAAGATAGTATTAAAAAGAAAGTATAAATTTAAGTGTTTAAATAACTTTAAAACCTTTATGTTAGCAGAGAATTTTTCAAATCACTCAGTTATCAGAATTGTTTCAGTAATCATTAACAACTGTATACTTCATTTGGTAAGAAACAATATCTTCAACTCTGTTCTAACATAGCATAATTGTTGCTATCCTTAACATGTTAGAAACACATCTTTTGTTGCAGCATAAAATTATGTTTTTGAATTAATATTCATTCATATGAAGAATCCATTGATATTAAAGATAAAGAAGCCATTGAAATGTATAAAGGAAAGCTTTTTAAATTGAAATGAACATTTTCGAGTTTTTAGCACCACAAAGTCGAAGAGCTGGCTAAATTAGAAGCATTAACAGTTTATTTCTTGAAAGTATATTTTTCTCTTCTTCTTTTGTTAGTTACTACACAGCTGCAAATTAAGTTTGTACATACATCTATTATAAACACAGAAATTAATACGAATACAGAAAATTTACTGCAAATTCAAAAATTGGTTATGAAAGATATTTTAAGTCACTGAACAAAGCTGTTTAATGACATTATTTTTATTGAACAGAAAAGGAAACCGAAGTTTAAAAGTTATAAATGTTCTTAAAAGTACATGTATTTTTTGTTAGTTTTTCTTGACAGCCACTTGTCTATTTTATAATTACAAAAACACGGTTCCTATGTTATAAAAATTCACCAAAGGATTACTATGGTACTACAGTGACAAACTGTTTTACATCTGTGGTTTAAATTCTGCATTTTATTAATTAAAATAACCAATAAATTATGATGTTTGGTACCTTTGGCCAAAATTCTAGTCAAATGATGGTATCTAGGTGGTTATTGTTGGTCGCTTGTTAAATGATGACTGATTACTTTCATCTATCCATTTATAACACGTGAGCAGAAACGTACTTTATCAAAACAGAAGAAATGGATCTCCATCACAAACATACATAGTGAACACAATTTTTAGGTTTATTTAGCAATGGGACTTCAATTTGAATACAAATTTCATTTTTTTTTATACCTATGTAATTCCACTAACACGTTTCACTTGTTCTAAATGAGAGGATCTTTGGTGAATTTGAAATTAATATCAGAATGTTTTATTTAATCTTCACAAAATTAGCGTGAAAGCACAGATTTCCACATCAAATAAAACTTCTACGGTAATTATTAGTCATTTCAAGGGCACCACAATTACAAATTATGTATTCTCAGTACAAAGCTGTAGAAGTTAACAGTTCAGTTTTTAACTGCTACCAGAATGATACACTTTTACAGTGACAAATATACATACATGAATTTTTTTATGCAAAGATAAAATCATGGTCAATTCTTTTAAGTGATATTTTCTTTTCATACATTTGATTGAAGATTTGAAATCTCAAATTTAGATCTCTAAAACCATGCTGTACACTTGTCCCATGATTAAGGACAGAAACACTTAGTTCAAAATAACCATTTTTTAAGAGCACCACACTCTTGACTATGTACACACCTCTTTCTGTAGTACTGGGAACAACTACTACCATCTTTGTTGCCAGATCAAGTTGAAAATCTGTTTCAACTAGCCACATAAAGTGTCACACAACCTTACTTCTTTTCAACCCAAAGGTGCTGTATTTTCATATAATGAAGAACGTTTAAATAATGGAGTTGACATGCTTCTTGCATCTGATTGCCGTGCAGACCTATATGCCTGATGTACACTAGAGTAAAGGAGTGACTACTGCGAGTGCAGAGGCCTGGTTTCTGTTCTCACGAGCAGAGTTCACAGAAGGTAGTGTTGTCCTTCAACTGTCATGAATATCTTTTATCAAAGTGTCTCCTGTTGATTTACTCACATGTGTATATCTCATACATTTAACAGCCTTTCTTGTGTCCATTACTCTCTTCATACCATGAGATTTAACCTGAAATTCAGAGTTTCCTACAGTATTAACTTTCCTTTGTGGTTTGGTCGAAGAAGGACTTGCATCCTTGCTCTTAAGGAAGAAAAAAAAAAGAAATAATGAATACTTATTAAAACCCAATATGTATCAAGCCTAATTAAGTTCTATAGTATTGCATTATCAAAATAATATTAATTTAAAAATATTACAACAGAAAATCATAAGACATCAAATTATTCCTTGTGCTACCACTAGTTTCTCTTTGAACAAGTAATGGCCATTGACTAATAAGTGAAAATTCCGTACACAAATCAGTCATAAGAGGCTTAGCCAGAAATCAATGAAAACTTATCATTTTGACATCTATCATGAACCTTTCACTATAAAATAATTTGGCCAACTAAAATTAATAAAATGCATATTAAATGATGGCATGTCACCATTTTCATAGAAATACATACACAAAAATAAATTACTGACCATAAAAACAACATCTGCAAGTTTGTTTTTTAAATAAAAGTATGTCAAATAATTTAAAATGACACTTGTGTAAAACATCTATATATGCAATTAAAAGAAATACAATGTTAAAATCATTACACAATACATAGTTATTAAAACAGGGGCTTGCCCTAAAAAAACTGTACAGATGATGTCATAGAACACCAAAACATATAAAGTCTTTTTAGGGCAAGTCCTTGTTTTAAATCTATTGTATAATGATTTTAACACTGTATTCCTTTTAATTGTATACATATAAAAACATGTTGTAACAACAAGAAAGTGTTGGGAAACTTTGTTATATACTCTGACCAAAGATATTAATGATCTTTGTAAATCAATTGAACTGAAATATTTTCTTATTATTATTCACAACATACCTATCAACTTAATCAAATGTTTTTTTAAACAAACATACAGAAACCTTGGTGAATATTTTTTGTGACTTAAATTAGGGTTTCACATTTAAGTCAAGAATTTTGTTTTTCTAAAATACATTTAATAAGCTCTACTACTAACAGAGCTGGGCAATAAGTGGAATTAGATAACTACTAATTATAGACACATGCATTAAACAATTTTATTCATGACTGGCCACAAGGAATGTAGATTATTTACTAGCTACTAGAATTTCGTTCTCACGTAGCCACAAGGAATAAAGATTATTTACTAGCTACTAGAATTTCGTTCTCACGTAGCCACGTTCTCACGTAGCCACAAGGAACGTAGATTATTCACTAGCTACTAGAACATCGTTCTCACGTAGCCACAAGGAATGTAGATTAGTCACTAGCTACTACAGTTTTATTCATGACTGGCCATGTTCTCACGTAGCCACAAGGAACGTACATTATTCACTAGCCACAAGGAATGTAGATTATTTACTAGCTACTAGAATTTCGTTCTCACGTAGCCACAAGGAATAAAGATTATTTACTAGCTTCTAGAATTTCGTTCACAACTAGCCACAACAAGTGAAAATCATTCACTTGTTACTATAATTTCATTCACAACTGGCCACAAGTAATAGAGATTAATATCTAGTTACAAAAAGCACAAATATCTGAAATCAGACAGGTCTTGAATAACTACAGGTTACAAGAAAGGATTCCCAACTGATAGGGAACCCCACACACATTATCTATGTGCCAAAACCATGATAATAGACTTTCTGTTTACTTACATCAAAAATGTGTTGAAGATCTTTGAAGAAGATTAAGCTTATAAAACTACACAACATAACTATATGAGGGATTAAAACGTTATGGTTTACTGTGATGAATATCATAAAATTATGTTCATGATAATGTTTATTTCTACTTTATTGCTTTCCTCTGTGATTTTTACAATTAGTTAATTATGTTTTTACTTCTTTCTAAAAATGTTTTATTGTTGTACATGTTTGTCATTTCTAGTTAGTTAATTCTCTACATGAGAGTGTAATATTATCAGTTTATTAGGCAAAAAGAAAAAAGTTTATGTTTCTGGTCACTTGTGCCCGTCAGTTTGAACCTTGCGCATCAGAGTTTTTAAAAAATAAAAATCTGCCCGCAGCAGTCAATTAAGAATGACCTTTTTTTTTTGCCACACATAATTATATTTTATAGCATTTCAGCACGAAAGTAAGGTAACTGCATTATTATTGCAACAGCACTCACCCATGCCATCAGGAAGTGATCATGTTTTTCCTAGCTAGTATGGCACGTCTTCATCGAAAATTGTAATATATGTACTTTTAACACAAGAAAATGGTTTTAATTTCTATAAAAGTCTGTTATGGAACAAAAACCCAGACCTTTTGGTATCATGGACATTCTTAACGAATATACTTTGAATGACACTTTTGAAAATTTATTGATATCATTGATTTCAGTTTCATTCTCGATCATGAGTACACAGACGGTGTAGTGTGAGCACTTGTTTCCGACATGATGTCAGGCGCAACACAAAGTGTGGCATTGACATGTAATATTGTGGATGTCATCCAATCAGGAAATTCTTGAGCTATTCTCTGGATCAACAAGAGGTCCTTGGGCCCAGTACTAGTGCACAGCACCCTGTCTATGTCTATGGCAGTTATTTTGGTGTAAAGTTAATAGTTTAGAGAAAAACTATTAATCACCAAAGGT